ACAAACTGAAAATCATTTTCAACCCTGGCAGGTCCGGCAGGCAGTAAAATAATGCATGTATGGCAAGCACAGAGGCAACTTATTTATATAATTATATTGACTGTCTGGTGAATCGAATGATAGGCGAAAATTCTAGGATGAGTTTGAAAAAACCTGTTTCAGACTCACATGAAATAGGACAAAATGGAAAGAGATAGAAAAATGTTCTATATGTTGTTTGATTTAGCATGCCATACTGAACTGGCAGCGCATGCAATTTCAACAGTAAGCCTGACAGTTCAGGAGAAACAGGCAGAAATGTAAAAGGTGTCGCTGTAGCGCCCCCCATCTGGCAAACTGTGGTGCCCTTGACAGGGTGGGCTCAGGGTGTGCAGAGAAATGGATTATACAGTTTCGAATTGGTGATTATTATGCTTGTAAAATGGCTGCTTGATTTTGATTGGCTGATGGTAGCTAGGGTTTTATGCTAGGCTACGGTTTTAATGACTGCAGTAGTACATGGCTGACCTCAGACCTAGTGCATTTGTGCCAAATTTCAGGTCAGGAGATATTGGCAAAAATGTAGAATGCTGTGCTGTAGTACCTCCCCCATTGACTGTCTGATTTGGGCCAGATGGACTGAGTGGTAGGGCGAGGCCTTACAGGTCAAATGAGTAGAGCCTCCTAATCACCGCCCTATGCTACAGGCCAGAAGTTTGGGCCCACCCTTGGGTACACTGCTTTGTCAGACTTTTATTACAAAAAAATATTAGAAATACTTAAAACAAATGTAACTCACTCGTTTTCAGTATTTTATATGTGACATTATTTAGCCACTTGTCACTATTTAACAGCATCATCATCATTAAAACACCGAGCAAAACATCAGTATCCACCAGGTTTTCTATCCTGCCTGGTCTCTGATGAATCATACCTGATCTCAGGCAGATAGTGAATCATCAGGTAGGATAGGAAACGTGCTGGGTAACAGCACTCCAGGATCGAGGTTGCCTACACGTAGGCTATCTCCTGTCTCAGAACCAGAAGGTAAGCTGATTTTGCCGAATTAATGCAATTTGATGGTTCACTTTATGTAAAAGCTGTAGCTGTAAAACCATGGAACATGTGACATATTTAACATGTAAACTCCAGTGTATAAAACCTAAAGGTGACTGATGAACAGGGGCGCCGCTAGCAATTTTGGGCCCTATGACAAAATATGAGGTTGGGCCCCCCTACGGTAACTTATTATTAATAAAGCAGATCTCTGGGGGGCCCTAAAGGGCGTGGGCCCTTAGAATTGTCCCAACTTTCCCCCCCTTAGCGGCGCCCCTGCTGATGAATACATGTTCTCGTTTTCAAAATGTCCATGTGTTGAAAGAGTGTTACCTAAGTGCTTAGTTTGTATTCAAAATGTACCCATTTGCTTTTGCAGCGTAGACCTAACATTGTATAATTAATTTTTATAACTTATTTACAAATGAACTCCTGCTGAGGCAACCAATTCTGAGGCGAATCCTGGCATGTCGCAGTCAGTAACTTCCTGCAGCAGTACCTCCGCGCGTGCACACAAGTCCCGTTCAACTGCCCCACGTCTCATCACAGGTGTGGTCCTGAACAACCAAACGAGAATGGCCCGAACGCTTATACAGAGAGGCTCAACCCTGGCTATAATCTCCGAGACACTTACAGAAAATTCTACAAATTTAAAAGGTAATTGGTAGCGCTTTACATTAACTGCACCTTAGTAATACATTTAAAATGTATGTGGCACCTTCATAATGCAGTTACGGTACATTCATCAGCATCATGTAAGTATCCCTTAACATCATATCATACCAACAGGATCATAGGGGCACACAAACCCCTCCACCACGATAAGGTTCATATAATTGATATGAGTTGCAGTGTAGTGTTTATTTATTTTAGAAGGCCACAATGCTTTGTAAAACAATGAAAAAAACATTAAAAATATTACAAATGATAAAAAATATTGTAATTTAAATCTTATATCAAACAACTCATACAACTATAGAATTGTAAACGCAATAACCAACTATATATATATATTGCACAAACTCGTCAGCCCTCAAATGTCTGCCAATGTGCTTAGATTTCTAAGAACAAATCCTAAATAAGGAAACATTTATGAATGTCAGAATTTTTGTGAGAACTGCATAAGTGGGCTTTAAGAACTTTTTAAAGAAGAGTTGGTGAATGAGGCCCATTGTTCTCTTTTGAAGACGCGCGCTTTCAAAGGTCA